TCATTGTTGATGTCACAAGTGGGGTACCTCAGGGCTCAGTGTTGATGTCACAGGTGGGGTACCCCAGAGCTCATTGTTGGGACCTTTTCTAATGTTGATTTACATCAGTGATATAGATGAATTGTGTTAGTATGCTGATGATATTAAAGCCTTGTGTATTGTTGGCTGTGTGGATGCTGCTGCTTTATGAAAGGATTTGGATTATTTGGTCAGTTGGGCAAATAAATAGCAGATGGGCTTTAATTATAACATGTAGGTTATCATAATTTGAATTATAAGTATAGTTTGGATGGGAATAACTTTAATAGTGTTATGAAGGAAAGTGATCTTGGTGTAATAGTTGATCAGTCTCTAAAGCCATCCAAGCAGTGTTCTGTTGCTAGTTGTAGGGCAAATAGGATTTTAGGTTGTATCTACAGAAAGATTGAATACTAGTGTAAAGAGGTTATAATTTTGTTGTTCAGGTCACTGGCTAGGCCACATTTGTAATATTTTGTTCAGTCTTGAACTCCTTACCTTTGGAAGGACATTGAATTGTTGGAAAGAGTTAGAGAGAAGAGCTACTAGGATGGTACGTGGGATGGAAAGGTTATCATATGTGACAACAGGCTAAGATCTCTGATTTTTTTCTTTTAAAGAAAGAAGAGTTAGAGAAGATCTTGTTGATATGTTTAAGAGTTAAGGGAATAACAGTTTTTATAAACATGTTACATAGATAATGTTTAGTGTAGATGCTTTTCATATCTGATTGGTAGGACTTCAACTTAGTTTTACTTTTCTAACAGGCTGGTTGGCTTTTGGTTGTAAGTGCAGTAAGTTTAAGGGAAGGCATGATAAACATTTAAGTAATCAGGTCTGGATTTAAGTTGTTTTTTCAAATGTATGGGAAGTCTTGACAGATCAACAGGCCCCTTGTTGTCCTTAAATGAATTATCAGTGGATTGGACAGTCTTGATAGACCAACTGGCCCCTTGTTGTCCTTAAATGAATTCTCAGTGGATTAATGTTACAAGTGGATGGGACAGTCTTGACAGACCAACAGGCCCCTTGTTGTCCTTAAATGAATTATCAGTGGATTGGACAGTCTTGATAGACCAGCTGGCCCCTTGTTGTCCTTAAATGAATTCTCAGTGGATTAATGTTACAAGTGGAGTACCCCAGAGTTTTGTTCTAGGTTTTTTTGCTATTTCTGATTTTCTTTGATGGCATTGGTAAAAGAAGTACATTTATTAAGTTTGCAGATGATATTAAATTAATTGGTGATTCCACTAAAGTTATTACAACATAAGTTGTTCTTATAGTCTTGTAAGGAAAGCTCTGAGTGAAGCTGTTGAGGTAAAAGATCTGAGCATAGCTGTTACAATCTCCTAAACCTTCTATACAATATGCATTAGCCCTATGTGCACAGGTGAGAGCCAAAGTGTGCATCTGCTGACTTTGTACAAAGTGCTATTCAACACAGTATAATGCATTTGATGTCAGAGTTATCAACATTTTACATTACCCCTACATTGTTGATTTTGCAACTGTTCATATTAAAGTAGAGAAAATACCAGATACATTATACATTGATACTTAAGAAAAACATTAGATATGTATTTAGGATGTTGTAGATGTTAAGCAGATAACATTTCCAAATTGTATGATAGACTAAAGTATTTTCATTGTTCACATGAACATCACTTTGCACTGTGATTTGTCTAAGTCAGACTGACTTTGGTATTTTATAGACATACTTTTAGCACAAAAATTTAGTAAGAAATTAAGGTATCATAACTAAACTATTTCTTTATCTTTATCAACAAAAGTTGAATTTAATGTAAACTAACAGCTCATACAATATCATTACACAAGATTATATTTATTAGCAGAGAAATACTTTTTTAGAAAAATGTACAAATATTCAAGGTACTTTTATTTGCTCCAAAAAAAACAAAAATCTACAAGTTTTGCTTCGTGGCTCTTCTTAATATAGGTATAATAAAAACTTAGTATCTGAAAGAAAGATATTATATTAATTTATCTGTTTATAAGCATTTTGCAAAAAAATCACATTAAAAATATTTAAATGTCAATAAAAAATGGATTTATTAACATTAACATAAATCACTTTGATAGCCAATGAAAGAATCATAGCTCACACTTGGAGCAAAACTGTATTACTAAAAGTGTTCTTCTGGTGGAAGTAAAAATTAAAATATGATTATATTTTTATACTGGTTCTTTCTATTTCTAGAACAAGAGTTTGACAAAGCAATTGATTTCTACACCCAGGCCATAGAGCTCAATCCAACTGTTTCCGTCTACTATGGAAATCGAAGCTTTGCTTACTTGAAAAGTGAATATTTTGGCTCTGCTCTAAATGATGCTTCAAAAGCTCTTGAGCTTGACAAGAACTATGTTAAGGTAAAGTTTATTAATTAATGAAGGTGTTTAAAGTTGTGTTTAGAAAAGGATCTTGTGAACATTGAATAGTAATTTCACTGTTTTTTCATATTTTTAATGGGTGTTGGTTATAGATATGTAACGAGGTAAATAAACTAGGATCAAGTAGAGTGTTTAATGTTATTTTATAGTCGTCATTTAAAGTTTTTTTATCACTGAAGCTAAATAATACAATGAAATGGACTGTTTTATTAACTATTCTATTTAACCCTGTATATACTAGTAAGTCAAAGTGCAAATGTCATGACCTTTTTACAGAGTTACACTCAAAATTTAATTACTCTATTTTATTATCAATGTACATCACTGAGCTTTGCATTAAAGAGTTGTTTGTAATTCAAATGTTAATATGATATAAATGTCCAAAACATACTTACCTATTACTCGACTGCCTGGGTTTTTTCTTTGCCCATCTAAGCATTAGTCTGATTTTTTCTCTCTTGCTCCAGTTTTTATAACCCATTCAATTGCTCTTGGTGATACTTGTCTTGAGATACTTTCCACCTACATCAATGTGTCCTCTATTCTGGTACTGTATATAAGCACCCCCATCAAATAATTCTATCACTTTTTGAGACTTGATACCATCCCAGAAATGAGGTGTTCCCTAAGACCTCCTAGAAGCTTACCAGGTGATATTACGATATTATGCTGGACTGCCACTTCTGGATGATCAAGCTAAAGGGGATCCTGCCCGTTCCTGCCAATCAGTGGATTGAATAAATTGGGATTCAGTTTGCTTTTAAAAATTTAGGGAACATTGGTTCACCTATTGCACTATTTCTCAGGACTCACCAATGGGCATTACCCTGCAGATACTACTAGTGGAGCTATGGATTCTTTACCCCACCTGGTTTCCAGCCACTGGGGTGGTGGACAGAGGCTTTTCCTCCAGTGTGTTAGAGTGGAGAAGAGGGCAAAGTTGGGGCCCTCATACCTAGGTCCCTGGATGTTTTTCCCTAGGTGTTGGTAGGAGCGATTCCAGTCTATGCAGAAACCTACTCATAATACCTGTTCAGATTTGATGCTCAGCTATCTGGTTGGTGTGTGCATGGCCCTTCTCTTTGATCAATATCAGTTCAGTATATTGTTCATGGAAGGAGGTCCACTATATCCTTGTAATTCCAAACACAGAGTGGTCCCATTCCTGGTACTTGGTTGAGCACAGTTGTTCCACGTTCTCCTCATAATTCTGGGGGCAGGTGGGGAGTGAGAATGAATGTTCATAATTCAAGACTGGATGAGTTCTGTTTCTTTAGTTGAATAAGGCATACATGTCATTCATAGCCTGTTGCCTTTTGGGCTTCTTCAAGTGGAGGAGAAGTTTTGTCCACTTTGGTGATGCTTACCTTCTCATCATGATTCCAGTGGTTCAGAATGCATCACTCTATGGCTACAGGTTGGATCCAATCAAGAGTATATCTATATATAATGTTGTGGTTCAATTGCCCTAGCCATCAACATGGGATATAGGGGCCAATACCCCTAAATTCCAACCTCAAGTAGTTGAACCTCGGCCATCTGTATGCGGCTGGCTTATAGTGATGATTCCTTATGTACAGTTCCATCCTTGATACAGAAACCAAGTTCAGGGTGAAGAACATACCTGTTCTGGATGTAGTGTGGTTCCCCCATTCGGGTACCACTCTTATATTGGTACATCCATGATATATGCAGGTGCTTTCTGTATGGTTCATGTCCTCACTGACCCCTCCACCTTCTCATTGTGGATTCTAGTTATAAGTGGCAGCAGAGGTACATATGTTTTGGAAGTTAACATTTTCCTAAATTGAAATTTTCCTAAATTTCCAATAATACTCACCTCTGCTGACACTCTCCTGCCCTTCCTTCCCGGAGGATCATACTGTCTTCACCTAAGTTCATCAGACCAGATGGAATCTTGTACACCCCTGATCTATGAACGGGACACATGACATCAATGTGAGAAATTGATCGACCGATCCAGAAACCTGATTTCTGGTATCATAAAGATGTCTTTGTAATGTAAACCATCTCACTCAAAGCCAAACTGACAGAAACCGCCCCTAGTGCAATAACATCCTCGGTATAATAAAATTGAGGGATAGCGTAAGAGGAAGAACCATATTAATCTGCAAGTACCTCTATCGTGACCCACAACACAGATGGAGAAATAAGAGTATAATTGAGCGAGGAAACAGAGATACCTGTAATACATGTGTGATGACGAGAAAACAGACAACTGTTATACATGTGTGATGATGAGGAAACAGACAACTGTTATACATGTGTGATGATGAGGAAACAGACAACTGTTATACATGTGTGATGATGAGGAAACAGACAACTGTTATACATGTGTGATGATGAGGAAACAGAGACACCTGTAATACATGTGTGATGACGAGGAAACGGAGACACCTGTAATACATGTGTGTGATGACGAGGAAACGGAGACACCTGTAATACATGTGTGTGATGACGAGGAAACAGAGACAACTGTAATACATGTGTGATGACGAGGAAACAGACAGCTGTAATACATGTGTGATGACGAGGAAACAGACAACTGTTATACATGTGTGATGATGAGGAAACAGAGACAACTGTAATATGTGTGATGACGAGGAAACAGAGACACCTGTAATACATGTGTGATGATGAGGAAACAGAGACACCTGTAATACATGTGTGATGACGAGGAAACAGAGACAACTGTAATACATGTGTAATGACGAGGAAACAGAGACAACTGTAATACATGTGTGATGACGAGGAAACAGACAACTGTTATACATGTGTGATGATGAGGAAACAGAGACAACTGTAATACATGTGTGATGACGAGGAAACAGAGACAACTGTAATACATGTGTGATGACGAGGAAACAGACAACTGTTATACATGTGTGATGATGAGGAAACAGAGACACCTGTAATACATGTGTGATGACGAGGAAACAGTGACACCTGTAATACATGTGTGATGACGAGGAAACAGAGACAACTGTTATACATGTGTGATGATGAGGAAACAGTCACCTGTAATACATGTGTGATGACTTATGTTGACTGGTTCAGTTCTAAATCTGAAACACAGCCACTGGGAACCAACATCCATGTGGGGTAAGATGAGGGATCTGAATCAAAGGGGTGAACTGCAATTGATGGTTCACCCGAAATTGAAAACCTCCCTTTGGTAAACCCATTCAGAGGTGTAGCATCAGATTAGAGGACATATCATCATGTACACCAACAGAATACCACTGCCCTACTCTCAACAGAATGGTTTCCTCATTATATGTATAGTTTATCATTATCAAATTCAGAAGGATGCCTCCATGGTCCACCACCCCAGTGGCTTGTAACTGGAATGTGGTAAGGACTCGCATTCTCCCCTGGATGAAAAAGAGGGAAGGAAATGAGGTGGAAAGTCTGGAGGAATGTCAGCACCAGAGACAGTGCGACAGGTAACAATGAAAACCCTATTTTGAAAAGTAGACCACTACTGATTTATTCAATCTAAGGAATAGCAGGGATGGGCAGTTATCCCCTTCTGCTTTACCCATGAGGTCCATGGGTAAGTACGGTCCGGAACAGGTATATTAATGAAGCAAATATATCGTGAGGACAAACCTACAAATAATCTTGTGCAACACCCCATCTCAATAGTGTACATTTAGTGGCAATAGAAATGGTAATTGTTAAGTCATCATGGCCTTACAGTGTGGATTTGACTATTTTTAAGTATACTTGGTCAAGCATTACTCACCACAGAGCAGGATCCAGACAGTGTAAAAAATGAATAAATGAAAAGCCCCTGATAAAGAAGAGATATAGATATAAAAATTAACTTACCTAGTCTGACCAAAGTCTGATGAATGGCTACAGGCAGAAGACGATAACCCGAAGATGAAGATACAGCGATTCAATGTAGATAGTGAGATCTGAACATGTGTGGGGTAGTCCACATGCCCAAATGAAGAATTTCCTCCAAGAGACTATGGAGATGAGATGCCAAGGAGTAGAACCAAAAATTGATTGAGTTGGGACAAACTGATCCCAGACTGCCAGTCTCTGGTTTTATTTGGTACTACAAACAGTCTGGAATAAAAACCTGGAGAAGGATGATTGACAGGTTCAATGGCTTGCTGGAAGAGAAGATCTTGTACCACCTCGGACAGATGCTGACTGGAGGTAGGATCCCGAAATAATGGAAAGGAAATGGGTATTTGAGATAACAGGGGAGGGGAAAGAAATTGTGTAACAAGTCCCTCAATTAAAACCTGAATAACCCATAGATCTGTGGCAAAAGGTTATCAAAGGGGAACAAAATCAGACAAGCCAGATCCCAATTGACCAGAACCCACCGGGTAGTCACCAATACTGTTAGCGAAGTGTCTATCTGTGTCGAATAAAAAGACAAGATGAGAAACCCCTGGAAGTGAAACAGTAATAAGCTCAGAATGCGACAAACAATCCACTAAAAAAGAAAGAGTAGCGTGCTGTCACACTGACTCCACATGGGATTCCAAAGTCTCAGGAATATTACTAAAAACATACCATTGAAGAAAAGGAGCTATATACAAGTCATGGAGATAAGGAGGTGGTAAATGAACCTGGGACAAGGCTGCATTCCTCTCCAGGAGATTCCAACAACAGAGAAACCATGTGTGTAAGGCTAGAGCTGATGAAAACAAATGTGCCAACGTGGAGGTAATCATGGAGAGGCAATCCATCGAAAAACCCTCAGGATCTCTGTTGATTGCCTCGGAAAGGAGGTGGATAGTAGACAAATACCATAGGTGAGTCGATAGGGTAAGACAATTGGAAAATTGGGTATGGGATAAATGAACAGGATGATCGGGGTCTGCTCCCACACACAGGCAAAATTGATTCTAACTGTTGAGAGTCGAGATATGGACATTCAGCCTGATGGTAGGCAAAGGCAGACTGATCTGAAACCCTTAACCATCTGAGAAACAAAATCCTTAGCATGAACCCTAATATCTGGGAAAGGGGGGAAAAACCAAATACTGAGAAGAGGCGGTATCATGTAACAAAGAAGGTCGGGGTTATACGAAGTCTGGGAAATGGATAAAATAAAACATAGATGAGAAATTGCATCTATAAAAAGCTGTATAAGCGGCAGATAAAGGCTGTCAAAATCCTCATCAAATCGAACAGGTTTGGTATATTCAGGAGGAATTGGGGCAAGATCAAGAGAAGCAGGTTGACTCATATAACAATCAAGCTCACGACGGATGATAGCCGATAAATCCAAAGTTGAGTCACTTCCACTTGTATCCTGTGTGAGTGTGCTAGTAGAAGGTAAGATATCTGAAGCGGTAACTTGAACTTCGGAATAACTTGTGTACAATTGAAAATTTAACACACGTTTCACAAAAAAAAATAATTAAAATCTGGATAAATAAGTTATCTGAAAAGTTGTTAATTGTTGAAGAAAAACAATCTACTTTGGAATAGTAACTACAAAAAAATCACGAAGTTGATTAAATGCAAAAACAAAATTTCTTGACATGAGTATTGCCAAACAAGAAGTGATAGTTCAGTAGAAAAGATTAGAGGGAGTCACATGCATCAGAAGAGTGTCGCACCGCACTCTTATTGGTGGAGAGTTGTTACATGATGATTTCATGTGAGACACATTTGAATCAGTCGATTGTAAGGTATTTTGGAGCTCACAGCTTGTGGCATGCAAAACAAAATGTTTTGCATGTAGAGGGCAGCACTGAATGAGAATAATACTGGCTCTTAGTGGGAAGAAATCTATGCAGACCAATGCCTAGATGGGAAAAGGAAGAAACCCTGGCATTCAAATAATAGCTGTAGTGTGAGAACAGGTAAGTATTATTGGAAATACATTTTTGATATTGAAAAATGTTAACATTTTGTGGTCTCAAGGGTGGTCAGAGTAATCAAGCCTGTTTTTCTAGCCAGTAAGCTATAAATTAATTATTGTAGATTGGGCCTTTTTGGCATTATTTCTTGTAAGTAAGCTACAAATACTGTTAAGTAATTACAGTAGTTTATATTGTTCAATTTGGAATTATTTCTAGCTGCTCAGCTTGAAGTATTAGACTGGGCTGGATGTATTAAAAATAGTTGAGGTTTTATGGTATTCTGGGCTGGATGATTGACTTTTATATAAAGTGTCTTGTTCTTGAGTGACAGTTTGTATACTAACAGTTATTTGATGTTTAGTTGAGAAACTTATTAATTGTTAAATATGTTCTTTTGCTCTAACATCTATTGTCTTGGATTTGTTTTCCTTTCATTATAGTGAGGTAGGTTGAAATTTTCAGTTTTCTTTCTTATGAAACTACTAGAAAAGTGATGTATTGTGTAGTTTTAAGTTTGAAACTACAGTGCAATGTCAAGTAATTGTAAATAGATGATAGGTTGTTTGGTTAGACTAGTTATAGTAGAATTAATTTAGCAGTATAGTGTGAACATTTATATTCTTTCTCTGGTACTGACATTTTATCAAGTATCTATTACACATGTATATTTTAAGGTTTTGGAACAATCAGAATTCTAATTCAGTAATTTATTTTATAGCCAAACCTGGCTTCTACCACATTCTATTCCTCCCTTCTCTCCTGGCTTCTTCCACATTCCATTCCTCCCATCTCACTTGGCTTCTATCACATTCCATTCCTCCCATTTCACTTGGCTTCTGTTACCTCCCATTCCTCCCGGCTTCTATCACATTCCATTCCTCCCAACTCTCCTGGCTTCTATCACATTCAATTTCTCCCAACTTTCCCGCCTTCTATCACATTCTATTTCTCCCATCCCACCTGGCTTCTATCACATTCTATTTCTCCCATCCCACCTGGCTTCTATCACATTCTATTCTCCCATCTCACCTGGCTTCTTTCACATTAAGTTCCTTCCATCTCACTTGACTTCTATTACATTACATTCCTCCTATCTCTCCTGGCTTCTAATCATATTCCATTCCTCCTATCTCTCCTGGCTTCTAATCATATTCCATTCCTTCCATCCCACCTGGCTTCTATCACATTCTGTTCCTCCCATCTCACTTGGCTTCTATCACATTCTATTCCTCCTATCTCTCCTGGCTTCTATCACATTCTGTTCCTCCCATCTCACTTGGCTTCTATCACATTCTCTCCTGGCTTCTATCACATTCTGTTCCTCCCATCTCACTCGGCTTCTATTACATTATGTTCCTCCCATCTCACTTAGCTTCTATCACATTCTCTCCTCCCATCTCTCCTGGCTTCTATCACATTCTGTTCCTCCCATCTCACTTGGCTTCTGTTACATTAAATTCCTCCCATCTCACTTGGCTTCTATTACATTATGTTCCTCCCATCTCACTTGGCTTCTGTTACATTAAATTCCTCCCATCTCACTTGGCTTCTATTACATTATGTTCCTCCCATCTCACTTGGCTTCTATTACATTAAATTCCTCCCATCTCACTTAGCTTCTATCACATTCTATTCCTCCTATCTCACTTAGCTTCTATCACATTCTATTCCTCCTATCTCACTTAGCTTCTATCACATTCTATTCCTCCTATCTCTCCTGGCTTCTATCATATTCTATATTTCTTCCATCCTATCTGGCTTCTATCACATTCTGTTCCCTCTATCTCACCACAAAGTATCTCACTCATGAATCTGTAGGATCTTTTGGAGTTACAAGAGAAAGACATCAAACATCACAATATTAGTAATGTAATCTTATTAAATCAGTCTTATTTTCTGATTCTCCAGGGCTACTATCGTCGTGCTGGTGCATACATGTCTCTTGGAAAATTCAAGCTAGCATTAAAAGATTTTGAAATGGTAAGTGTAGTGTAGAGTAAATTATTTCAACTCTGTAATAGAATATTGACTGGTAGTGTTTTCCTTTTGGTGTATTTACCTTATTTCTTACTCATAGCTGTGGTAGTGTCTCAACCTAGTTATAAAAGTACACTATCAATAGTCACAGAGAAATGACAAGAAACATTGCTACAGTGGACTCTCATTAATGCCAAAAGGAATTATTGGAATTTAAAATTTGTAAAGAACTTCCATTTAAAAAATCCTTTATGTGACATTGATGCTGTTAGAACCACCTACCCATCAAGAATGCATTTTGCAGAAAAATGTGCAAAAGTTATTAATTTTTTCCAAAATTGAATCACATTGTAAACTTTTTTCAACTCACCTACATCTCATAAAAGATGTGTAACACTAAAATTGGTGTTTCCATTAGATACCTAATGGTTGAAGCAGAGAGCTGTTTAGGTTTTGTTGTTTTTTTTTTTGTTCAAGGACATTAAGTTTTCCATTTAATTAAGTAAACGTTTTCAGTTCACCAGAAAACACTGAAGCATGCAAATGATAAGATAATGAAGACAGATAGATTTTGGTTAGGTTTCTACTCAAGTAAAAAACAAAAATACATGGCCTCATTACAAAAACGTAATATGCAAAATAATGGTGGTGAAGTTACAAGTTAAGCAAAATCAAAAATACATCAAAGTTGTGTTATCACAATGAAATGTTGAGTTAAGTTTTGGATTGTTTAATTGGGCTGTGTGTTGTTTTAATTTTGATTTAAGTAAAGGGTTAACTGGGCCAAGAGTTGTATTCACAATCAACAGTAATAACCTTCCCAAGTCTAGTCCTTGATTGTGAATACAACTCTTGGCCCAGTTAACCCAGTACAGACTTGGGAAGGTTATTACTGTTAGTCCTTGATTGTGAATACAACTCTTGGCCCAGTTGACTCAGTACAAACTTGGGAAGGTTATTACTGTTAGTTTTTGATTGTGAATACAACTATTGGCCCAGTTAACCCAGTACAGACTTGGGAAGGTTATTACTGTTAGTCCTTGATTATGAATACAACTCTTGGCCCAGTTAACCCAGTACAGACTTGGGAAGGTTATTACTGTTAGTCCTTGATTGTAAATACAACTCTAGGCCCAGTTAACCCTTTACAGACTTGGGAAGGTTATTACTATTAGTCCTTGATTGTAAATACAACTCTAGGCCCAGTTAACCCTTTACAGACTTGGGAAGGTTATTACTGTTAGTACTTGATTGTTTTCCTTCTCACTGTTGAAGAACAACAAAATTGCAAACAAAATTATGACAAACATTACCAACTAGTTTCTAATTTTGGCTTAAAAAAATCCTATAATTAATTAATTTTTTTATCATTATTTGTGTTATGCAATTTCTGAAATTATGTTGTGAAACTTTTTGAAAAAAGAATACCAAAATTCTCTTTAATCCTAGTTTCAATTTTGTTTTGTTGTTGATTAGAAATTTCTATTATACGCATCCAGTCAGTTTCAATTTGATTAATTTGCATGAACAAATTTCTTTGGGAACTTTATTTTGTCAGTTGTAGTAGTCACAAAAAACCATCTGTACACGATGTAATAAAGAGGTAGTAGTCTGTTAGAAACTGCATCTATGTGATAAAGTAGAGGTAGGAGCCTTTAAGAAACATCTCAACACAATATAGTATTATTTTTATGATTTCATTGCCTATTCACAGTGAATTCAAGCCTTATATTAATTATGGATATAATATTTTATGGTTTTTTGTTTTAGTTAATGCAGTTTTTAGTATGTTTAGTAAGTTTTGGTGTCTGCTTATGTGTTGGAAGTATTAACTTTGAAGGAGGACAAAATTAATATGTTAGAAGTGTTAACTTTGAGGAAGGACAGAAGTAACATGTGATAAGTTAGAAGTGTTAACTGTGAGGGAAGACAAGTAACATGTAATAGCTTAGAAGTGTTAACTGTGAGGAAAAACAGAAATAACATGTGATAGATAAGAAGTATTAATTGTGAGGAAAAACAAGTAACATGATAGATAAGAAGTGCTAATTTTGAGGGAAAACAGAAGTAAGATGTAATAGATTAGAAGTGTTAACTGTGAGGGAAGATAGAAATAACATGTAATAGATTAAAAGTGCTAATTTTGAGTAAAAACAGAAGTAACATGTAATAGCTTAGAAGTGCTTGGAAAGTAAACACATTCTTCACTGTTTATGTTTAATAGCAATGTAAAGACATTTATTCTGATATGATGCCATACCTCACATAATAGCTCAGTTTGAATTATGAATTCAGAATTTAATGTACAACTACTAATGTTGTTACTACTGCCATCGAACCTCAACCTGCAGTTTCTTGGGGTTTGGGCTTCACTTTCCCTGCTGAGGTTTCAGTCTTAGTTCTCCATGAGTTGGAGTCCATCATGCGGCCTACTGTGTCTTCTTACCCAAGACTGGACATACCATTTCCTAGGGAACCTGATCAGGACAAAGAGGATTTGGAAAGCCAGTTCCCACTTCCTTCCTTTGCTGTGCTATCTTATCACACCTGTGGAAACTCCCTGACCTTATTCTACATTCCTCAATATGTTCCTCAGTATGTTATCTTTTGGCTGTATCCCCTGTGTCTTATGATTCCTCAACTTTCCTTCTGCATGCCATTCCTTCCTCAGATTACCTTTTTTTAACCACCCTATTCAGATAACAGGGTCCATGCTGATCAATTTCAAACACAAGTAAGTTCTGGGATCCGCGTGCTTTGTCCCTCTCATGCCTCTGATTCCTCCGCATTTGTGTATCATCATTCAGAATTTCTATTTCTAGACTCACAGATCTTAGAGTCTTTGCTTCAGGTGTGGGGATCTGACCATGATATTACTGTGAGGTTTTCTCAGGCCAAGTTTTTCCCTTCTCTGTTTGATTCTCACCACCCTCCTGTGTTACCTCTCCTCTATCTATCTCCTACCTGTTCCCTTGAGGAGTTTTCAGTGAATACATTCTTCCTCTGCCCTTTCCCTAAAAACTTTGACTCCTGTGTTGTTAGGATTTCCCAGGTTGGGATGCATTCTTAGCTCATGTGCACCTGCCTACTTCTTATTTTGGGTGACCTTTGTATGGATCCATTTTTGTACTAGTTTGTCTTTGGAGATCTTTCTGACTCATTGTAATCCAAGATGGAGGCTGCTTGTAATCACTCCTCTTTTTCCTTCTTGGTCTCTTGTCTTTTGCAGTCTTCGCCTGCTTTCGTTCCTGTATCTCACCCTCCTCCTTCCTTCCATTTGCCTGTCTTTCTCTCCTGAATCTTGGTGGCTCTTTGTCAGATTGCTCATTGCTGGTCTCCCACTGCCAATAGTACAGGTGACTATAAGATTGGTGCTGGCACAGTTGGGGAATATTTGGCCAGGTTTTTACACTTATGGAGTGCTTTTACCATGGATCCTTGGGTGCTTCAGATGTTATCCGAAGGACTACCTTTGTTTTCTAACCCCACCTCCATTGCCCCCACATCCCATTCCCTTCCCTCCTCCTGGGGATCCACTTTCCTGCCAGTGTCTATCCAAAGTGGTTCAAGATCTTCTTCACAAGGATGCTGTTGAACCCACCAGTCACCCTTCTCTGGATTTCTATTCTTGGTTCTTCATAGTTTCAAGGAATGCAGAGGACTGACATCCTGTCATAGATTTCCCCAATCTCAACTGTTTCAGCAACCTTCCTCATTTCACCATGAGGTCTTTTCTCATTCTTCAGTGGGTCTCTGGATGTAAAATATGAATGCCTTGGATGCTTATCTTCACATTTCTATTTTTTCAACATCCAGATGTTACCTTCATTTTGTCCAAAACAGTTGAGTATGTCTATTCTACAATCTTCCATTTTGTCTGGCTTCTGCACCCTATGTATTCTGCCAGGTGGTCAGGGCCTATGCCTTTATTCATTGTCATGGTATGCAGTTTCACCATTATATGGATGACTAGCTGCTTTTAGCTCCATCCCATCCCAACAAACATTTCACATGCAAACACATTTACTGCTCTGAGAGGCTGCTTGTGTGGGTTGGCTAGTCCAGTTGGGGAAATCCTTTCTCATTCTGACCTAATACCTCATCCATTTGTGAGTATTCTTCAGCTTCTCTTTCAGTCAGGCCCAGCTTTCCCCTCTCTGGTTGAGATCAATGGATGTATTAGTTCTCAAAGCTCAGTCCTCTCCTTCTCTCAATGCATGTAAGATTCTATCTTTTTTGGGGACTTGGGCTTCCATTGAAGCCCTAATTCCCTTTATTTGTACTCACCTGCATATTTTTCAGTGGGCATTGCATGTTCAGTGGAATCTTGCTCAGGATCCCCTGGACTCTATTATCCTTCTTTCTTTCTCACTACGTGTCAATTTAGACTGGTTGCTCGACAGGGACAACACCATGGTTGGCCCTTTCTCTTCTGTCTCACCATCTCAATTTGCATCTTTTTACAGATTCTTCTTTGATGGGTTGGTGGGCATTTATGGATTCCCAGGAGATCATAGGTCATTGGTCTTTGGTTGAATAGCTCTGCACATCAATCTTTTGGAGTTACTTGTTGTTTATTGAGCTTTGGATTGTTTCCTACCTTTACCAAGAGACAAATTAGTTGTGATCCATTCAGACAATTCCATCCTTGTCTCTTACATCAGTCAACAAGAGGCCACTCATTCACGTTCATTTTCTTTTTGAGTATTGGTACTCCTTTTCTGGGTCCATTCATATCACATACACCTACTGGCATGTCATTTCCTGGGTGCTCTGAATCTTGTTGTGGAATGCTTTTCTCGTTTTGACAAGATTTTTCTGTGTTTTATCCCTTATTCAAACCATTCCATGTCAAATCCTTCTCACTGCCCCATTTTTGCCTGCTCAACCATGGTTTCCTGTCCTTACCTTCCTTCAGTCATATCCTCTATTACCACTTCCATTTTCCTGTTCCCTTCTCCAGCAACTTTAGTTGTCTGTGTTTGATCCCATCATTACCACATTCTGGCTTCATGTGTGGCATTTGTCCAGTTACTTGCAATTACTTGTTGTATTCCCCCTTCCTACTGTCACCTAGATATCGGGTTTCCAGGTGTTGGTTATGTACTGGGTCTACACATACATACCCTGGCTAGGATGGTGGGACAGAAGCCATTTTCTCTTCTGCTTCCTAGTCTTGAGATGAAAACAATAGGGACCCTCTTGCTGCTGCAGACTGGATGATAAATACCTTATGCCACCTGGCTTTGGACTGGATTTGACCCACCAAATATGGTCTGCTGCACCCTAGTCATTCTACACCATTTGGCATATCCAATTACACATTGGATGTGTGTCCTTTCCACCTGACTTAGCAACACATATCTTCACAATGGGCAAAGAGTATACTTGGTACAGATGTGGTGCAGTCTCCCATTTGTGTATCCCTCTACATTGAGGTTTCACACTCCATGGGCTCTCTTCATATGTTTTCTGAAGGGTGATTATTTAGGTAACTTTTGCACTGATCCCTTCACCAGTTCAATGCAGGATTCTAGGTATTATGTGAGAGGAGGTAAGGTATCATACCATAAGTTATAATTTTTCTATCATTAAAATGTATTTCCAACATACTTATCTCTTCTCACACTTCCACCATTCCTTCCAACTTCTGGTGCTTCTTTTTTGCCTAATCTCAAACTGAAGATTAAGTTCTACAGTATAGTGGGAATTAGCTGTGCTATTGGTGGAGGGTTGTCTCATTCTCATTTGCATTCTACAACATAGCAATGCCACATAGACAAACGGGAGTTTAGTTGGGAGCCTCGAGGCTAGTGACAAGTTAAAATTGCACATATAGAGGGCAGCACTGAATGAGAAAAGCTATTACGTGAGAGAAGGTAAGTGTCTGAAATACATTTTCAGTGTAGGGAACTTATAATTTCCTGTTGTGTTCTCTAGGTTACAAAAGCATGTCCGAATGACAAAGATGCCAAAATGAAGTTCACTGAGTGTAATAAGATTGTTAGAAGGATGGCATTTGAGAAAGCAATAGCAGTGGATGACTGTAGGAAGTCTGTAGCTGATACTATAGATCTAGAAAACATGTGTAAGTATGTAATATAAGGATGTTTCTTGCAGTAGTATAACATTATTGCCTGATGAAGGCTCCCCTAAAAGGGCCAAAAACCTGCAAATAAAAGTATTTTAATGTAGAGAAAAGTCCGTGTATAATTTTACATATCAATTTATGTACATTATGAGTTTTAAAAAACAATCAGAAACAGTCATCTTGTGAAATTATATACAAATCTCTGGAAAAAAGGGAAAATTTGTTTTGGGAATCATATTTGTGTGTAATTTCATGACTAGTTTTTTAACCTTAATTTCACAGTTGTCTATTTGGAAGAGAAATGTATTTTATCTTTTTTTAGGTATAGAGGAAGATTATACCGGACCTCAGCTTGAAAATGGAAAAGTAACAGACAGTTTTATTAAAGAGCTCATGCAGAACTTTAAGGATGGCAAAAAACTTCATAGGAAATATGCTTATAAGGTGTGTGACCTGAATTGGTAATATCTATAATTTTTGTCTTATTTGAGACAATACAATAGTCACATTGCTACTAATGAGCTTATATATATGGTCTTCCAAAAGCTGTTTTTCTGAATCTATATGTTCAAGAAACAGTTAAAGAAAGTAAAGAAAATATTCAAACAAAAAGTATTGTACTGAAAAAATTTTTATCAACAATTACTAAAAAAGTGACATACTCACCAAGATTCAAACCTTGTGATTTACAGCTTAGCCTCTCATCCATGCTACCATTCATCTTTGGTTTTTACAGTTGTTATTGAGAAGAATTTTTGCTTTTGTATAATCTGTCTGTTCGGACAAAGTAATCGTGACTTGAGACTTGTTTTACTTGGATTATTTTAGATCCTTCTTGATGTTAAAGAAATGTTTAAGAAGCAGCCATCTCTTATTGATATCCATGTACCAGATGTAAGTATAAGTCTGTTAGCTATGAGCCAAATAGTGTATAAAGTTGACTGTGTAGCCATAGTATACACTCTCTCTCTAGGTATGCTGATCTCTACTTTCTGTAAACAGTGCTGTCTAAGCCTTAGTATTTTTCACATTCAGTACCAGTCTGAGAGAAGTTGTGACCCATTCCTATCTTAACAGTAATTTGTGCTTGTTTTAACAATATTGTTTATATAAATCAACATGTTGTTGTTGTACCCCTGAACATATTAGATACACTGTCATTTACATCACATATCTGAACATTATTATCTATACGTATAACATCTGTGCTTGTTTTAACAACATTGTTTATATAAATCAACATGTTGTTGTTGTACCCCTGAACATATTAGATACACTGTCATTTACATCACATATCTGAACATTAGTATCTATACGTATAACATCTGATATAGATCTAAAACCAAAAGATAATGTTAATTTATTGAGTGTTTTTGAGAGAAACTGTCAGATGTATTAATTAATTTTTCATTTGTATTTTTATATAATTTTTACTTGTTTTAAATACAATCTTTCTTTGTCACAATTGTTTAAGCTGCCTTTAAATGATGTCAGTTTCCAACTTGGAAGAGCCTTTTCTGACCTAAACTGTTGACATAATAAGACTTTCAGTTTAAATGTCTTTTATCTATAAGACTTTGGGTTTAAATGTCTTTTATCTACAAGACTATGTGTTTAAATGTCTTTTATCTACAAGACTTTGGGTTTAAATGTCTTTTATCTACAAGACTATGTGTTTAAATGTCTTTTATCTACAAGACTTTGGGTTTAAATGTCTTTTATCTACAAGACTTTGGGTTTAAGTGTTTTTTATCTACAAGACTTTGGGTTTAAATGTCTTTTATCTACAAGACTTTGGGTTTAAATGTTTTTTATTGGTAAGAGTTCAGAGAAATGCAAGACATTCTTCAAGCATGAAGTAACAACACAGAAAACATTTATGATTTCTAGGGTAAGAAATTCACCATATGTGGAGATATACATGGGCAGTACTATGACCTTCTGAATATTTTTCAATTGAATGGATTACCATCTGAGTCAAATCCTTATGTATCCTTTTTTGATACAGTTGTTCTAAATTAACAGTCTTAATGAGATTCTTATTATAGCTACTGTTGTGTGTTGTATGTGATACTATACCATAGTTTTGTCATCTTTGTTACTTCCAACAGTAGCTATATTATCAAAGATGACAAAACTATGGTATAGTATCAAATACAACACACTTACTTCCATAATATAGCTACTGTTGTGTGTTGTATTTGATACTATACTATAGTTTTGTCATCTTTATTACTTCCATAATATAGCTACTGTTGTGTGTTGTATTTGATACTATACCATAGTTTTGTCATATTTATTACTTCCATAATATAGCTACTGTCGTGTGTTGTATTTGATACTATACTATAGTTTTGTCATCTTTATTACTTCCATAATATAGCTACTGTCGTGTGTTGTATTTGATACTATACTATAATTTTGTCATGTTTATTACTTCCATAATATAGCTACTGTTGTGTGTTGTATTTGATACTATACTATAGTTTTGTCATCTTTATTACTTCCATAATATAGCTACTGTTGTGTGTTGTATTTGATACTATACCATAGTTTTGTCATCTTTATTACTTCCATAATATAGCTACTGTTGTGTGTTGTATTTGATACTATACCATAGTTTTGTCATCTTTGTTACTTCCATAATATAGCTACTGTTGTGTGTTGTATTTGATACTATACCATAGTTTTGTCATCTTTGTTGTATTTGATACCATAGTTTTATCATCTTTATTACTTCCATAATATACCTGTTACCAGATGTATTTTGTATGTGAATGGAATAAAGATGTCAAATTGTGTAAGAAGTCGAGTAATGTCTTTTCTTCTGTATGTTGATGTGCCAGATTCGCTAGTGTTACAGTTAATGGGGAAATCTGAAAAAGGTAAATTATTATTATTTTCAACCTCACAAGCGAACTTAACCGTAGGATGTTGTGAGTTCAGGTATTCTAAGAATTTAGAGTAGTGATCCTTAATTTGAAAAAGTAACAAAACTATCGTCTGTAAAAGATAGGTTTGAAGTCAGTGGGGCATGTGTCGAGCTATTTCTGTTTGTGATACAAAAGAAATATATTAGCTAACCTTGTACCTAGTGGGGAGGCCATTGCTACACCGCTTCTCATATCTCCTTCTGTCCTCCTCGGGATCATACCTCATTCAGTTATCTTTGCAAATCTATTCAAGACCTCCTACACAAAGGAGCTATCAATTAGGTGGTGCCCACTCAACCCAGGAATTTACTACCATCTATTTATTGTCTCCAAAAACACTGTAGATTGGAGACCCATCATAGATTTGCCACAGCTGTCAAAGTATCTGGAGACACCTGAATTCACTATGGAGTCCTCCCTAACTTCAGAGGTTTTTTTTTCCTGGGATTTGGGATGATCAAGTTCAATATGATGGATGCCTATCTTCATATTTCAATTGCCCCAGTGTCATGTACTTTTTCTTTGTTTCATCCACAAGGATTCTGACTTCCAGTTCTGGGTGCTGCCAATCGATTTTCCTTCAGCTCTGTATGTGTTTTGTGGAGTGGTAAACCCTTTTACACGTCATTTTCACTTGCTGGGTCTTCAAACTCACTAATACATGGACGATTGGCTGCTGCTTGTCTCTTCCCATGCCAAGTCAGTCACTCACACCCTCTTATTTCTTGAGTGGGGTTTCTCATCATTATTACCCCACACAGTATCTTATTCATTTAGGGGTTATCTTCAATTGCCATCTCGTTCAGCCCCAGCCCTCACCACTTTGGTTCCAGGATGTGGAGTGGGCAGTAACGAAGACCCTACCTTCTCCTTCTCTCTTTGTGTGAGAGGTTCTGTCTCTTTTGGGGATGTGGGCTTTCTTGGAAGCTGTCATTCCCTTGGGTCTTGTACACATGCATTCCCTTCATTGGATGATTCTCAACCAATGAAACTTCTCCACGATCTGTTAGGGCATCCCATTACCCTATCACCTGGGATCAGGGCCGACCTTGCTTGGTGGCTTGACAGGGACTTTATTAGTTTCATTATACAGCAACTTTTGTGTGTTGTCTTTGATACAATAGTTTTATCATATTTATTAGTTCCATAATATAGCCACTGTAGGATGTTATCTTTGATAATAACACTACCATGTCTGGATGTGTCAAGTTGATACGTTTGTTGTATGCTTTGTTTTATAACAGTATGATAAAAAATTACTGGATGAAATAATTTGAATCTTTAGAACTATTTTATATACATTATGTAGGTTTTTTTTAAATATAGTATATTATTTTTATATGTAGCTAAAAATTAGAAATGGTATGACCCAAACCAAAAGGTTGGCCATTTTTCATCACGTGATATTTGTATGACTTTTTAGGTTGGAAGGTTTGAAAAGGTTTTATTGCAAAATTTTTGTAAATTGTAATTTTCCCTAAATCTTTCCCATAAGGTTTTAATTTTACAAAACTAAATTTTTTTCAGTTTCCTTCATTGATTACAATCATTAGCTTGCAATAAAGATCACTTCTTTATTGTTATCACCAAAATTATAACAATATAACTATATATATAACTATATTTTTTAAACTGTTAATTAGAAGGATGAAATGTTCTATTTAAGTGTTTTACACTCACAAAAAAGAAACCTACTATAAAGGCTTGGTTTGTCTGATATTTCATTGGTGGTAGTGTCCAGGGTCACTGATGAGGAGTGGAATTCTCCAAAACTAGTCTGGCTCACAGACACACCCCAAATGAAAGGATAGACCATTCCAAGCTTTTACTTGTTGTTAAACAAATGTTTAAACAACTCTATGAAATTATTATTATTATGTACATTATAGTTCATAGTTTTATATTATCGATTTTTATTCCTTTATTTAAAAAATAACATTGAAAACAATAATGAAATCTTTCAGTTTTGTGTCATGATGCATGAGCTATAAACAATGTTGAAACTTGGCAAAGTATAGCTTGAAGCATAAGGGGGTAGTTATGTACATGTAAGTCTAGACGAGAATGTAGTTAACATGCTCTTTTGACACGTATGTTTCAAAGTTCTTTGGCTGAGTGCAGTTGAAAGAAGAAATATATTTGTCAACCCCTAGAGTTAACGTTGAGCTTT